AAGAAACAAGGAATTTTGTCTGCCATGCAAAGATTAAGAAACAATAATAATAATGCATGGAATTAATTTTGTTGCCACTTTGGTGTGTTGGAATTCCTTGGAAGAGGGGTTCTTCTGATTTTTGGTCCCATAATTAATTATATTTTAGGAATGTTTTGGGAAACTTTTGTTATTTTCGTTTTTGCTTCCAATTAGGTTTTCTAGCATGCCTAGGATTTCATGTGTATAAAAGAGAAGCATTAGCGTGTCTATAAACTATCTTTCTTATTATCAACGAATACAACTTGAGGTTTTACTCAATTTTTTGGTGAATTATGGCGTGTCACTTTAGGGTTATCATTCGATCTCTCTACTCCTTTATCATCTCGCTGCGTCAAAAACAATTTATCGTTTTCGAAGAGAATGATGTGATAAGTGCAACTCACTGTTTTGTTGTGATATGAGCATTTTTAACTTAATTCTATCGTTTACTTTGACTTTTCAACATTTAAACTTTTAGGAATGTTTTGGTAAACTTTTGTTATTTTTGTTTTTGCTTCCAATTAGGTTTTCTAGCATGCCTAGGATTTCATGTGTATAAAAGAGAAGCATTAGCGTGTCTATAAACTATCTTTCTTATTATCAATGAATACAACTTGAGGTTTTACTCAATTTTTTGGTGAATTATGGCGTGTCACTTTAGGGTTATCGTTCGATCTCTCTACTCCTTTATCATCTCGCTGCGTCAAAAACAGTGAACATAATTAACAAGTTGCAAACTACATAAAAGCCTAGAGGCTAAAGGCAGAGTAAAAACTGTGATTAGCTCCAGCTGATTACAAGACAATCCCCAACTGTAGAGCGTACGTTGGCCAACCAAAAGTGAAGTTCACTGCCCTAAATTTCATATTATTTTTAACAACTGTATGTTTATACAAGAACATGCATATATGCTCAGGTTTGTCCCATACATTATAATTGGTCTGACAGTTGGCTAAACGTTGTTTCTCACCAAAAGTAGTAAACAACAGTTTGAATTTTGAATTCTGAATTCTTGATAATAATAATAAGAGAGCTATCATTTTCAGCTTACGTACATGTCACATTTTGGCATCTACATACATTCCTAGTTCATCATCATCATGATTCATTCAGCATCTATGTCTATGTTAAGGTCGTTAATCATGTTGACCAGTAGTGAAACACCACAAGTTCTGGGTCTTCTGGTGCTCCAATGGATGTTGCTTGCATGCAAATAGGTAGGGTCCATGAGTGGATGGTAGCCATCAATCACTCCCATCATCATCCCTCTGTATACCACCACCATTATAAATCCCCCCACCCAAACCAAAAAAATAAAAGCTTTTATATATATGAGTTTTTATATTTTCTGATCTGATTGAGAGTACTTGTTCTGTTTTCTCAGTAACTGCACTCTCTTTCCTCTTTTTCCCGCGCTTTAAAAATCCCAACTTTTTCTCACCCCCCCCTCTATCTGCAGCCCCCTTCCTAATCTTATAGTCAAAGTTTGCGCTTTGCTTTCCCATTGAATTCACTCTCTTTCGAACACTTTTTATTTCCCTTATCCCCACAAACCCACAAACCCCCTTCAAGTTTAGTTTATGCCTCCAACAAGTTTCACTCTTTTCATCATATTGATCATCTGAGTTTTCATTGTTTTCAGATGGATACCATGAGACCCAAATCAGCCTTCAACAACAACAACAACAAGCAGAGCAAATTGGCTAGGACTTTCCACAAGGTCATCAACCTCAGAAGCGCAACCAGCAAAATTGCATCCAACAATGGCATTTGCCTTCTCACATCTCAGGCCAAAGTCAAGGAGGACCGTGAACATTTCGAAAAGCATAGGCATTTGGACAAGAAGGAAGAAGAATTCAAAGCCAGAAACAGAGCAGTCATGGAAGCTCTGCTGGCCAAGCTCTTTGCTGGCATCACTTCCATCAAAGCTGCCTACGCAGAGCTGCAAATGGCCCAAAACCCATACAACAACGAAGCCATTCAGATGGCTGATCAGTCCGTAGTCAACGAGCTCAAAGCCATTTCAGAATTGAAACGCAGCTTTTTGAAGAAAGAGCTCGATCTCTCACCCCAGGTCACTCTAATGCTTGCAGAGATTCAAGAGCAGCAGGGGCTAATGAAGACCTATGAGATCACCATCAAGAAATTGGAGTCTGAAGCTGAACACAAGGGCACAGACATTTATTCTCTGCAGAAAAAGCTTGAAGATTGTGTCGCATTCAACAAGTCCTTGGAAAACAAGTTAAACGCAAGTGGCTCTCTCTCTCTGTCCATGTTCGAAAATCTTCGGCTTTCGGTGCTCAGCCCAACACATTTTGTTCAGTTTCAGCAACACACTTTAAGATCCGTAAGGAGCTTCGTGAGGCTGATGATCCGTGAAATGGAATCTGCAAACTGGGATCTCGACACAGCCATCAAATTCATCGAGCCAGACTCTGTTTTCGCAAAACAGAGCCATAGTTGCTTTGCGTTCGAATCATTTGTGAGCAAAACCATGCTTGAAGGCTTCAACAACCCAAACTTTGGGCTACCCAGTGAGTCTTTGCCCCTTAACAACAAAACCCAGCTTCACTTTTTTGAGAAATTCAAGAAACTCATATCAGTAAATTCAAAAAACTTTCTTGCCCAGAACCCAAGTTCATCGTTTTGTAAGTTCACTCGGGCCAAGTACCTTCAACTCGTTCACGCAAAGATGGAGTGTTCTCTTTTTGGGAATTTAAACCAGAGAAAGCTCCTAAGCACCGGTGGGGTTCCAGACTCTTCATTTTTTGCGGCGTTTGCAGAAATGTCGATGCGGGTTTGGCTTTTGCATTGCTTGGCATTCTCATTTGGTCAACAAGTTTCCATCTTTCAGGTCAAGAAAGGCTCCAGATTTTCAGAGGTGTACATGGAGTCTGTGACTCCTAACGATGTGGATACAGAGCCTTCAGTGAGTTTCACAGTTGTGCCAGGGTTCAAGATTGGGAAGACGGTGATACAGAGCCAGGTTTACTTGTCTCCGGTGACTGCTCCGGCGAGCCGATGATTAATTTGCACTCTCCGGTGTGGATGGTACTTTGTTTTGGTACTTAGACAGTTTGGATTCAAGTATTTACGATCGGATGGTGATGGCTGGTTTTGGGTCTTGGATTGAAGAATTTAAGATCCGATGGTGATATGGTAGGTGATAGGAAATGTAAATAATGCATCAGAGCCATTGGATGTAATGTGGGTCCAAAGTGGTAGGTTTAGGTTGTAGCAGAAATGTATACAAAATTAAATGTCTTCCTTGCTATATGTAATATAATAATATTTGCTCAGTTTTCACTTGAAGAACTAAAGCATTTTTTATGTGGTTACTGGTTTGTGGTGTTGTGTTTCTTTTGGGGCATAGTAGATGTTAAAAGTGAGACTGTGGTAATAGGAGCAATGTCAGCAATGGCAACCTGAACTACATGTGAAGGTGGCTCAGAGAAGATATGATCTGGATTTGTATCACAGTAATGGAGGAGAGAGGCTAGTTGGGTTGTGTGGACCATAGGGGTTTTCTGTCTTAATCTTGGGATCAAGTAAATGGGTTTGAGGGCAAAACCTTCAATTCATATTTTTCTGCAACTGTTTTCGATTGATAAATGCTTAATGTAAATATTACATCCTATAGAATGAGAAAAACGTTTATATCACAGGGTAACATTGTTTTGCTATCTTCAATCAATTATGTTTCGTTACGTGTGATAACTTTTTCACGTGACGGAATGTAATTGATTGGGAATAGAAAAAACGTAGTTATACCCGTGATGTTCTTCTCCAACAGAATAGGCTATTCAACTTGCATGAATGTCAGTGGTTAAGATGAAATAATTGTATGCAAACATCATTGCCTTGCCTGTAGGGCTTTGAACAACCTTTTTGTACACGTTTGTATGTATCTGCTTAAGGTAATATTGGCAGGACGAGGATCTTTGATTGTTTGGTCCGTTTCTGATTTATAACACCAATGTAGGCCGCTATAATTGGTGACCATCCTTTCGTTTCACTGTCCCATTGTGCCAATATTATTAGGCTTCATAGAGTCTGAGTCTGAGCATGGTTCACGGGCCTTTGCCTTGCAAGACAGCATAGCTGACTCAGTTCAGCATTTGTGTGCGTCTAGATCTAGATGTCGCAATTGCCAGCAAGCAATTCCTTTGCCACATACTCAAACTTTTAACAAACACTGTTTCTGTTTCCCATGGTGGAGTTTATTTACTTGTGTGTTAGAAGGCAAATAAGATATGGGGTCATACTCGGAGAGATAAATGTTGGGTTGGTACTTGGGCTATGAAGTTGTAAAACCGTGAAGCTGCTTGGAAACTAGCGATGTGATTCTCAATGCAAACTGCAAGGCAGTCCTGCTTGTTTGTTTGTAATTGTCCGGGTCGAGAAATACTTTCCTAACCATTGTATTTGTCCCCTTCTTATTTTTCTCCTACTTTTATAAGCGCCATGATGAGAGAAATATAAAGAAAGCGTCAATAAAACGGAGGTAGGAAAGTTTTTCCGGGCCAGCTCCAGGTCCCTTCTCCAACCTATTAGATATTGTTTTTCTCCTTGTTACAACTCTGTACCTTGTATTTTAATTTTTAACCTCAAAACGTACTTGACTGCATATCTTTGTTTAACCCATGCATGTTAAAACTCTCTCCAAGAGCAACAAACGCATAACTTTTCATGTAAACATTTGCTTCTTCATTGGTTAGACTTGAAGAATGCTCCTCTCAATTACCAGTGATCTGAAAGGTGCACTACTTGGCTCTTCTTTGAAAATGTGATCATTTCTTGCAAATATTGCTATATAATTTACAGATTCAATAAGCAAAGGATTTGATCCAAGAAACAAATGGCAAAGAAAATTCACTCCAGAAAAAGAAAAACCAGTATACTGTTTCAATGGGGATTTGATTGACCAGCAGACGCCTCCTGTTGCTACCAGGATGCCATCTCCCCACCAGTAACATAAATTAATGTTTCTAGAATACACGTGGCTTGCACCCCTTCATCAGACTTGTCAATCTCCGGATTATGTAACAATTGAATTTGTTCATGTCACATTGTTGGTTCCATCAAGTCCTCAGTATGAGCTGATTTAAGTTCTGTTTTTCACCAAGCCCCCACTATAATCCACGTTCTGCATTGATGGTTTATATCACAGAAGAAATCAGAGCTCCCGATGTTTTTGAACTGGCCGCAAATCATCAGTCAAAAAGGTCATGAAGTCGTTCCTCCAACAATTCACATCCAAAGAGCTGAAAATGATTTGTTTCTTTCAATCAAGGTCCAGCATGTGATTCATCATCATCGGCTTAAAGAAGAAGACACTGGAGTCTAACAAAGTCATGGAGGAAGATTTCACGGGGAAGCTGGTTCACCATCTGAGGAGGGCGGAGAGTCTGAAGCTTCTGCAAGAGCGTCAAGCATTGTTATGACATCACTAGGGTCATCCAAGTAGTACTTTGCTTTACTGGGTTTCTGTCCAACAGTGCATGCAAAAACACTGGTATTAGAGGAGAGGACACCATTTGTCATTGCATTGCCAATAATCTCAAACATATCCTCATCAGATCTATCGTCACCAACGCACAGTACAAAATCAGCCGGCTTTCCAGTCTCGTGCATTGATGTGAAGATCTTTTCTGCGACCACGCCTTTACTGACTCCCTAAAAGTCACAAGTAAAAGTAGGATTCAATCATCATATGTGCTTTACAAAATCTATATGTTTGCAAGAATTCCGTAGTCTTTTATCATCAGCAAGCAAACTATTTGTCTGCAAAATTGTCAGTCAAACTTACTACCATGGTTTCTCCATGAAATTTCTCTCATGAGCTAATGTCAAGCGTTGCCATACCCTTACAACTTAACCTTTTAAAATCTTTCTCATGAGGCTATTTGTAGTCAAAACCCACATTACCAAAGCCAAAAGAAAAAGAAAAAGAATACAGGCATGCTATTGTCTTGAAATTCCTTAAAGTTACTTGATTATGATTTAAAAAGGCGTGGCCAAGAATTCCTATCTCATAGACGGCCGACCTTCATACCACCATTGGCAAGTGATTACATACAAATTCTCAGAGTTTTTGAACTCAGAGTGTTTGTACTGTAGACTTGCCAAATGCCAAGGTAGCTTAATCGCACAAAGCTACAAGTCCTAAGAATAATTTTATGATTTGGAAAAGTACCCTTCCACCCCTCACCCAAAAAAAAATTACAAGAAAGGAAATTGGAGCTTTTTCTGTGATGAATTAGTAATAGGTAGTGCTAATGGTGAACATCCTAGTATATCAAGAATTGGAGTTTTTACTGTGATGATATATACAAATAGGTAATGCTAATGATGAAGATCCTAGTATATAATAGTATCCACCAAGTGGGCAAAAATTTGCATTCACCTAGAGAGTAAAAAATTGGAAGTGAGTTATTCACCTGTGGCTTTACTTCTACGATATACTGACCACTCTTGGCAGCAACTGGTTCATTTGCTAGCACACTTTCTAGATGGTCCAACAACTCTTTAGCCTGGCTGGATCCAAAACCAGGATCTGCATCTCGATGGTGCCAAACCAAGGCACTCTCCTTGGTTTCAATGGAAGAACCATCAGTGGCTTCTGTGTAGAGTTTCATAACTGGTTCTGCTATCTGTATCCATCCAAAATCATTGCTCTGCCCACAAATTTCCCAATCCTTGTCCGCAGACCACCTGAAAAACAAATTTCATATTTAAGCAAACAAAAGAAAGGAGTGTCTGCATACCACCTAATAAAACACAATTCATACTTAAGCAAACAAAAGCAAGGATAACCCATAAAGGACCAATAGATAATGGATATACCTCACAAAATAACCATGTTCAGCAGCAATTCCAAGTTTCTTGCAAGGAGAAAACCACTTGCTTAAACTATCCCTCCCTCTTCCGCTGACCACAAAAACAGTGTTTTTAACATCACCACAAAGTGTATTTATGAGAGAGATGACCTCTTGGCTTGGGCTCTTATTTATAGATGTTTGAGGCATCACAGTACCATCATAATCTAACAGTATAGCCCTACGTTTAGATCTCAAATAAGCAGACTGAATGGCATCAATAGACAGCTTTCTGAAGTTAGGATCAAGTGCTATAACCCTGAAACCAAAGCCCAAACCAATACCCCAGCAACGTCTTCTGAAATGGTCTTTGCATGTTCTCTCCATATCTTGGAAAACGCTTCGTGACCAGTATGCCACATCATGTGTACTAACATACCTATAATGCTTTTCATGGCGCAACTGCTTTTCAGGTTCAACCATTGAAATTGCCTCGTTCATAGCCTCAGCCGTTGATTCAATATTCCATGGGTTAACCCGAATTGCACCACTCAGTGAAGGGGAACATCCAATAAACTCGGATACTATGAGCATGCTCTTCTTGGGTCCACTGAATTCTGAATTAGAATCTGATACAGAATTTCCTTGCCTGCACACAATGTACTCATATGGAATAAGATTCATCCCATCTCTCACAGCCGTAACCACTACACACTCAGCAATGGTGTAATATGCAACTCGTTCACTAAGAGAGACTGGTCTATCGATGAATACAATAGGTTCATAACCAGGCTGACCAAATTTTTCATTAATTCTTTTGATGCTTGCCTGTATTTCAGCCTGTGTTTCCTCAAGATCTTTTCCTCTTCCCCTAGCAGGATTTGCTATCTGTACCAGAACTGCTCTTCCCTGCCACTTTGGGTGCTGCTTCAGCATCTGCTCCATTGCCAAGAGCTTCAAGTTGACACCTTTAAAGATATCCATATCATCAACACCAAGCAGCACAGTCTTTCCTTCAAACTGTTGTTTAAGCTCTCCTACCCTCCACTCCTTATCCGCAAGTCTCAACACTGACTCAATCTGCCCCATGTGAATCCCAACAGGCATGATCTTTATCCCAACTGTCCTTCCATAATAATCCAACCCAATATAACCCCTTTTTGACTGATACTCCAAACCCAACATCCGACTACAACAAGACAAGAAATGTCGAGCATAATCAAAAGTGTGGAAACCAATAAGGTCCGAATTTAGAAGTGCTTTTAGAATCTCTTCCCTAACTGGTAAAGTTCTATATATTTCTGAAGAAGGAAATGGGCTGTGAAGAAAAAAACCCATTCTCAATCTATTGAACCTCCTCCTCAAGAAGGTAGGCAGCACCATTAAATGGTAATCATGAATCCAGACATAGTCATCCTCTGGATTTATTACCTCGATCACCCTTTGCGAGAAAATTTTATTCGCAGCCACATATGCCTCCCACAAAGACCGATCAAACCGCCCACCATGATTTGCTGAGAACGGAAGCATGTAATGAAACAAAGGCCACAAATGCTGCTTGCAAAACCCATGATAGAACTTGGACAAAATGTCAGGTGGCAAAAAGGCTGGAACACACTTGAACCTATCCAACAGGAGCTGTGATACATCATCTTGCTCATTTGAATCCACTTCAACATTCAAAGAACCTACATATAAAACCTCCATCTCTTCGGGTAGACCATCCTTTAACTGCAATAGCAATGAGTCCTCGTCCCAACTAAAACTCCATCCTTTATTGTCAGGTCTACGCTTAGCTTTTACAGGGAGCTGATTGGCAACTATAATTATACGGTCCTGCATAATCGAGGATGGAACATCCGAAGACACGCTATTGGCCTGATCATCATCAAGCTCTGATATAACTCCGGCAACGGTCATTACACGGGGAAGTCGCCTTCTTTCCCGACCCATTATTGGAAAGTTTCCAGAAGCTAGATCTAAAAGATTGGTATACGATTTGGACATCATCTTGAATAAATTCTATTTGGGTTTCCCCAATCCACTCAAAATTCTTAGACAAATCTCAGAATATAAACCAGACCCAAGATTCCTTGCCTCTTGGAATGACTATAATTGAGCAGGATCTGTAATAACATGAAATAAACAGGCATCGTTACAGAGACCAAGAACCAATTTATAGCAAACTAAGCAGGTCCGTATCATCAAAGCATTCATTCCAATACCTAAACTAGATTCAACCATTGCAAATGACCAATACTTAATACCATTCCCATATACCAAAAACTGCAATACAGCATAAAATCGCATGTCCAATTTATAACCTAAAAAATATATAGCCTTGAGCCTGAATTGAACGCAATGATCATCATATTTTCATAAGATAAAAACAAAAACAAACAAAAACAAAAAAAATGATACCTTTCAGAGCTTTGAGAGAACAAATTTTGAATCTTTCCCAGGTACAAATTGGATCTGAAAATCGAAATAAAAAATGAATTATTGCTGAAATCAGCAGAAAAGAAATCTAGGGTTTGGTTTGGTCTTCTCTGAATGCCCAAGAGTCACTTGCAATCTCTCTCTCTCTCTCTCTCCGCCCATACAATATAACAATGCTTTGCTTCCCTCTTTTTGTTTTTGGAGGAGCAAAATGAATAAAAATATTGTTTTTATATATTTTAGGAAATAAAAAACTCAAAAAATAAAGAAGAAGATAAGGTTGGCCAGTAGACTACCCAGTAATGCCAACTGGCTCATTGTTCAAGCTTCGCCTCACGCGCCTCTTACTCCCGCGTGCGAAGGCATTTGATGACGTGTCAAAATCCAACACTGCGTTGGCATCCCATACACCGTGTGGAAACTTTGTGGGGCCACGTCGACCCATGTACGTTTGAAGCCCACCCCTGGGCCCTACACGTCGTCGGATATATACTCACTCGATGACTCATGAAAATCATCTGGTGTTTTCACGGCCGGCTTAAATATCTACACCTCCCCATTGCTTTCATGACACGTACCGACAAGGAATTTTTTGTCACGTTTTTGCTCTTGTGGATGGGAAACTTTATAGTTAGAGTGATGTTGTATTTACCCACTCACTTTAATTTTCCGTGTTATTAGTCTGCTTTCCACAATCACAAGTATTTCTAACTTCTCTTCTTACTTTTGCTTTTTTCAAAAGCTGAGAGGTAATGGATTGGAACTTTGGATTTATCACAAGAGACTAACAATTAGTTGGTTGATTGTTCGTGTGCATTTTCTCCATATCCTATGAAAATAAAAATGAGATACACAAAATTTATAAATAAACTCTACACCATTTAATTTATATAAACAAACTCGAAAAATGATAGCTGATCATATTTAATTTAATTTTTATTATTAAATTACTTTGATGCCCTATTTAGTGTTTTGAGTTTTTTTTATGAGGTTTTGGGGTTGGGTTTGTTTTTAGAAATCAATGGCAGTTTTGTAATTTAAAAGAAGTTAAAAGCTTTTTTTGTTATGTTGTAAATGAACTTAGGGTGTGTTTCTAAAGTCCATTTTATATAGGGTTTTTTATTATTTATAATTTGGGCTCCTATATTGAGTATAATAGTGAATCTCCCAAATATAAATGAGATACACAAAAATTTGGTCACGTTATTTGCTTCTCGCTTTTACGAGTTGCCAATTAGAATCTCTACATTACAGTAAATGCTCGTAAGACTAATTATAATTCCTTTAAATTCTAAAAGGCTTTTAAAAACAAAATTATTAATTATTACAATGTAGTCTAGATATTGTGATTCTCGTATCGTAAAACCTACTTATCTAAATGAATACCTCTTTTTAAAAGATGAGTTTGTTGCTACCGCCTAAACCTAGGGTGCAGGCATGGAAGAAAATGTGATTCTTGTAGAATCTATATATTTTGAAACAAGTAGTTGGTGGCATGATGTAGCATGATCAAAATGGTAGATAGAATACTACTCAAACTTGAAGATAAGAAGAGCAAAGTCCCTCCCTTCTAGCCTTGTTGGAATAACATCGGTGATTGGTGTGGGGCGGCAAAGTGCAAGCTTTGCCTTTAACACAATTTGCCACATGGGCGCCATGTAAATACGAGAAAAAAAATACGGATAAGGCAACCAAGAAAGAAAGGTGATGATGTCATCAATGACGTCACCGAAACGGTGGGGCCTGGGCAGGCACGTGGGTTTTGGCTTTGGACCTGTGGGTAAAATTGCAATTCAAATACAAATAGTTGTTGGGTTGGTGGTCTCTGGTGGGGAGGTATTTTTAAGTCCATGTATATTTTCCATGGTTGGGGCTAAAAGGATGCAATGTCGTTTTCGTCCCTGCTGGATTTGGTTTATGCGACCGAATTATACTTGGCTTGCTACTTGAATAAACCAAGGAATGAGGGGCATTTTATTTAGGGTTGCGTTACTGGCTTATAAAAAATGTGTATTTTTCACAGTCCATGCGGGAAGACTAAGACCGCACATGTGACTAGCTTCCTTTTCTTTTACCTAATTTTTAAGTTCTGCATGGGAAGGTGAGGGTGAGGGAAGGCTTTGAGAACAATTTCATGTACATTATTATTTTTTGGCTCTGGTACCATTTTGTCATGTTATAATTCCGGAAAAATTTCATATTCTGCGCGACGCGAGTCATAGCACAACCCGAGAAATTAGATATTTTTCTAGATTAAGACGTGACATTGACAAAATAGTGTGTAACATTATGATGTGTATATAAGCACTCAGAAATTCATGTTCCGAGTGAGATTTATTCCACTCGAATATTCTTTAGGTAAAGTGCACTTCATCTGATCAACTCTTTATTAATAGTTCTTTGTTGTGATATTTTCGAAGGCTTTTTTGGTCTCCCCAATGGAATCAAAGAGTCTTATTTTAATATAGATTGACTTGAGAAGTTAATTGTGTCAAGAAATATTATGAAAAAACCCAAATGACCAAATGCATCTCCTAAAAACAATAAGACATATGCATGACTTTTCTTCCAAGTTCTGCCCACTTGACAGAATAAAGTCCTGCAGATAGCCAAAATGAAAGTGTCAAAGATGCTGCTGGCCTAAAACTATGAATCTTATCATTTATCAACAGTGGATGCTCATAATTGTTCTTAGGAGAAACTCTTGGGTGTTGCAGGCGGACTGTGTCACCAGTCCGACACCCATCATATATACCGAGCCTCCTTGTATTTGGGTCAGAATCAACGTGGGGACCCAAATGCAAGGGTCCTAGTGAGTGCTTGTGAGGGGTGCCGAACAGGTGATGTGGTTCACCCAGCAGACTTGAGAATTTCTCCTCTTATTGGCCGTCCTCAAGTTGGACATATTGCAAATATGTTGCATCACATCCATACTCTAGAGCAAAAAATAAAGAAAGAAAGCAGTGCCTGAGCCCTCTCCCAATGAACGACAAGTAAAACAACACACAAGTCAATGTCAAAGAACCACTAAAACAAGAAGATACTACAGAGTACAGAACATAAGAAAAAACAGCACAACCTATGCAGTTGGGAGATTAAACCAATGCCAATAACGATAATCATTAATCTATATGGTATCAGGTATCACCCTCCTTCTTGGCATACATCCTACGAATCGATCGAAACTGGGATAAACAAAAACAGAAATGTCATCAAAGAATGACCAAGTTCCGATTGATTTAGCCATCAAAGTTTTGGGGAATTGGAAGGAGACCTATAGATGGATACCAATATTTGGAGCTGTTGCTGCAATTGCAATGGCTTTTGTAACTGGTGCCAACAATCTTCCAGCTCCGGTTGGTGGCTTTGTAAACAAAACTTAGATGATGGGAAGATAGATTTTATTGCAATAGTCACATTTTTATGCACACTACTTGAACAAATCAATCACAAGCAAACACATTGTGAATATGAAAATTTGATATTTCCCAATTTATGGCATCTGAAAAATGTTGTTTGTTTGACATTTGTCAGTTCTCAACACCTGTTGGATCAAGGGCTTTGACACTTTTAAAGGCATTTGTTTTGGCTTGTGCAATCTATGTTCCTGGGGCAGCCTTTGCGAATTCCAGCAACACTGTCAATGATTTGTTTTCTGATGTATGTATAAAACACTTGTGGTGCCCATATTTAATTTAATTTTTATTATTAAATTACTTTGATGCCCTATTTAGTGTTTTGAGTTTTTTTTATGAGGTTTTGGGGTTGGGTTTGTTTTTAGAAATCAATGGCAGTTTTGTAATTTAAAAGAAGTTAAAAACTTTTTTTGTTATGTTGTAAATGAACTTAGGGTGTGTTTCTAAAGTCCATTTTATATAGGGTTTTTTTAATTTATAATTTGGGCTCCTATATTGAGTATAATAGTGAATCTCCCAAATATAAATGAGATACACAAAAATTTGGTCACGTTATTTGCTTCTCGCTTTTACGAGTTGCCAATTAGAATCTCTACATTACAGTAAATGCTCGTAAGACTAATTATAATTCCTTTAAATTCTAAAAGGCTTTTAAAAACAAAATTATTAATTATTACAATGTAGTCTAGATATTGTGATTCTCGTATCGTAAAACCTACTTATCTAAATGAATACCTCTTTTTAAAAGATGAGTTTGTTGCTACCGCCTAAACCTAGGGTGCAGGCATGGAAGAAAATGTGATTCTTGTAGAATCTATATATTTTGAAACAAGTAGTTGGTGGCATGATGTAGCATGATCAAAATGGTAGATAGAATACTACTCAAACTTGAAGATAAGAAGAGCAAAGTCCCTCCCTTCTAGCCTTGTTGGAATAACATCGGTGATTGGTGTGGGGCGGCAAAGTGCAAGCTTTGCCTTTAACACAATTTGCCACATGGGCGCCATGTAAATACGAGAAAAAAAATACGGATAAGGCAACCAAGAAAGAAAGGTGATGATGTCATCAATGACGTCACCGAAACGGTGGGGCCTGGGCAGGCACGTTGCAATTGCAATGGCTTTTGTAACTGGTGCCAACAATCTTCCAGCTCCGGTTGGTGGCTTTGTAAACAAAACTTAGATGATGGGAAGATAGATTTTTATTGCAATATTCACATTTTTATGCACACTACTTGAACAAATCAATCACAAGCAAAGACATTGTGAAAATGAAGATTTGATATTTCCCAATTTATGGCATCTGAAAAATGTTGTTTGTTTGACATTTGTCAGTTCTCAACACCTGTTGGATCAAGGGCTTTGACACTTTTAAAGGCATTTGTTTTGGCTTGTGCAATCTATGTTCCTGGGGCAGCCTTTGCGAATTCCAGCAACACTGTCAATGATTTGTTTTCTGATGTATGTATAAAACACTTGTGGTGCCAAAATTCGACTCCTTTACCTCCAAAAGCACCATAAACCAGTTAGTTATAATTAGCTGATAGAGTTGTCTATTTTCACAGTTTCTCAAGGAAAATCAGCCAAGTGAAGGTTTCTTGATGTGGAGCATGGTAGTTGTTCTCGTCACGGCAGGTACTACAAGACTTGGTTAATTGTCAGACCAAAAGAGAATGTTGTTAATTAACTTCATATTGAATTTTCTAGTGGCTGAGAAGATTGGACTGCTCTTTCTTCTCATTCTTGGATATGAATTTCTTGTTTTTACTTATAAAAGACAAATGTGGGCATAGTTTGTTTCGTGACTTTTATAA